TTTTTCTTATACTAACTCCCGTCACTACTTCTTCGCCCTCGGTCAATGAGATATACTGATTACACGTGGTTTCGTACTCATACTACACTTGTTGCACTCTTTTTTGGTGCATATTGTAATTTCAATAATGGCATTTCAAAAAGTGACTTTAGTTTAGCACTAAGTAAACTTGAAAATGAGAGGTATTGACTCCCCATAGAAGGGAAATTCACCTAATATTTTCATGAGATAAGGGCTCCAAATTTTAATGGGCATGCAGAGGGTTCAAGACATATCTCCTAGTTCCTTAACTCTGTTGCTCACATAGTGGATCCACCTAGAATTCTATGTTAATGTTTTGGTCTTACCTTTGAATGTAGACCACCTTATTTCGGTGTAGGGTTTTATAACACCGGATTCCATGTTTAGCTCACATGGTCTATTGTTGGTTAAGCCTATTGTTCCATAAATTTAAATGAATGAATGAAATTAATAAGTGAACTCTATCAGGGTGACTTAAGGGGTTATACTTAGTGTAAGTAGGGGTATGGGACTCTACCTATACATTGCACTAGTAAGCCTTGACGAAAGTCCTAGGAGGTTGTTCTTATATTCATATGACATAAATGATATGCATATGCTGACTTTACATGTTGATGATCCTATATGATGTTAGTTTCATTTATGAACATGCTATTAGTCAATAGTGCTATATATGATTATGACTACTCATAATGTTATGTTATATGAAGTAACACATTACTTATAGTTTCTTTCCTTACTTGATTATGTGGGGTTATGGGGCTCCACATAAATATTGCAATTATATGCTTGGGAGGGGTTGTGGGTAAGTGTCTTATATGTTGTGCTAATATGAACTCTTGTACATGAATTGTTGTTATGACATTATGTTGGAGTTGTTATGCATATATGATATTTATGTGATGCCATTCATGTTGATTTGGAGTTGTTATGCTTATATGATCTTTATGTGATGCCATTCATGTTGATATGACTTATTGTCGATAATATCAATGTTGACTTGACTTTATGATGATGTTTGTCTTGTGTTGAATATAGACTTGTCTTAGGTAAATATGTGATCATTGACTTGTATATGTTCTTAAATGTGCATAAAGCCTTTTGAAAGTGACTTAGCATGGTTTTAAACTATCCTTTTAAGCATGATTTCAATGTTTTATGTGCACATGTTTCCATACTTAGAAAATGTGGTTGTACAAAACAATATTCTTTCCCTTTTCAAAAACAATGTAGGTTCGGGCCGTTAAGGTATCAAGATCTCTTTTTAAGAAAACTTCTACTTTTTCTCAAGCTTTTGTAGGTCCTCTACTTCAAGGATGGTTCCACATGTTCTATCCTAGTAGTATTACTATGGTCTTAAAGACATTAATTTCTTTCCTATTCGTGAAGATATTTGTTGTCAGCCCTATGTGGCAATATGAATTTGAATAAAGGCTATGCTAGAATGTTCTATTTCATTTAGATGGTTTAATGTGAGACACCTTTATAATACTAAATCCTTACGTATTTATTATGTTAAATAAATGAGAAGGCTATGTAGGCTTCATATGCCAGGAATCTAAGTAAATTCCATATAAAATAAGTGAGATGTGTAAGTATATCTCAATATCTATTAAGTTCAAATTTTCTAGCATTTTCGACCAATGAAATATTATGACGAATTCTAAGGGCTTGTATAAGTCCTCTCCAAGGATGACGATGACAGTTGCATCTAGGGGGTTCTTCCCGGTCGTGACAACTGGATTTTGATTGCCCTTACCAACATTTAAGAAATTAGTTGCACAAAAGTTATTCCTTTTTATGAGTATACTAGTTTTCTACATTTGTGTTAGCCAGAGTTTTGCCTACTCAAAATGCTTGTTACAATGTAAATATATGTTTGTTCATACATTTTTGACTTTCTATAATACATAAATATGACCCTTAGTCCTCTAACTTTTAATGTGCACAAGTAGACACTTAAACTTGTGTAAAATTCAACAAGTAGAGACACTTGTTCTTCATGGCATAATACAGATAGGACGTCAAGTAGGAAACAAAATTGTCATGTAGAGTGTCACGTAGGACAAATGTGTATATTTGAACATGTTTATACAATTTTAAGAGTCTACTTGTGCACATCTAAAGTTAAAGGTCATAATTTCCAACTAACGTCAAGTTAAGAGTCATGTTTGTGCATTAAGACTTATTTTAAGTTTCCCTTGGGACCGTGCTAGCACGGGGTTTTAAATCTAGTAAAAGTACAAATCATGTTTAAAATGTATTGTCGATTTTCTTAATTGTTTTGTTATTTGTTTTACACATTTTTACTATTCTTAATTCTTAATACAATAAAAGTTTATATTCTAAAAATTTTTGTAACCGATATATGCAACACCTTTTTTACTCTCAAATTTTGCCTCTCTTCTTAATTTTTTATTTCAATAAAAATTATTTGTTATAGGATTATCTTTCCTACATATTCTTATTCGTTCAATATATTATTTGGAATTTATTTCAAAATAAATTTATAAAGGTAATATTCAAATGTAAGAATTATGTAATACTAAAATATCATATAATGATATGATATTTCACATATAATTGATATATGATATGATTTTTAGAATAAGAGAAAGACAAATTTAAATATATAAACAGCATGCCAAAAATTTGTTATTAAAGTGATTAAAGCTTCTTAGTTTTATACTCGTCATATCATAATCATGGTATCTTTTTAGTTACATTATATTTAAATCAAACGATCAAATTTTGCCATCTTTAATGATAACATAACAAGAGGATAATGTGGATTTTGTGAGAGTACTTGTAAATTGTGATTTTGAGTATAACAACAGGGTTTTGTCGTATTTGAAAGTCAATGGGAAAATTTTTGGGTTGTAAAACTTTTTTGTAGTATTTATAATTTTCCCAATCTAGTCAAAAATTTTACGAAATCAAAGTGTTTGAGGCATAGGAAAATCAGGTTACAATACAATATTGATTATATGAGTAATTAGATAACTCGTTAAGAAATTTGTACCAGTTTATGGAATTTAATTTGGGCTAAAAGAACTTTGGGTCTAAGTGTCGTGGGTTAGAGATGTGTTGTAAAATGGGGATTCAAAAATTCATGGAATAAGCTACTTCTTTGAGAATCCTGCCCTAGTGGGGATATCCACCACATTTGTGCTGCCATTGTGGTGGGGTGATGACTGATCTAGTGGCTAGGATGCGTATTAAAGTCGTTAGTAAACCCCTAAACGACCTGATTATGTATTTTTTGAATTTTGGAGCTAAGTAAAAAACCCAAGGCAACTCCTACTCGTTTTTCACTATTCTTGAGGTTAAAGGTTAGTTTTCACTCCCTGAATCCATTTTTCAATCTGTCTAACGTAATAGCATGTGATATTATTTACAGGGAATCGTTTTGATATAGAATCTATGGTTGAAATAACCTTAAACTTTATTATTTTGAAAATTGGTTTGATCTAGGGTTCATGGAATTGTTATAGTTTTGCTTGATTAGTTATTTTTGTTGTTTTTTCTATTATTATGATTATTTGTAGACTGAGAATAAGTGGAACAAATCCAAGAAAGTGTCAACTTTTTTAGGGTTTCAGGCTTGTTTTGAGGTAGGTGATGGTCGTTATTCTATGCATGTGTAATGTATTCTTGTTATTACTTCATTATGATGCATGTATATATGCAAATGTTGCATTGTTGATTAACAGTTGGTGCACAACTAAAAAACAAAAATCTAAAAGATATAAAAATTATAGAAAAAACAAAACTATATATAAATATAAACAACCGAGACGAAGGTATTATGTAAAAAATCATAAAATAAAAAGACCATACAGACCAAAAAGAAAAATATCCCAATGTACTTGTTATAATTGTGGAAAGATAGGACACATAGCTAAAGATTGTAAATTACCCAAAAATCCAAAAAGAACTGTTAAATTGTTGAAGCCTGTGATATTGAATATTGTATATGTTGGATATATTGCATGATTAGATTGTTGTAATTAACTTGCTTATGTTTCACTTAGAGGAAAAGCCACGTGATCCTACTAATACATGATGGTTGTGTACTGATACAACACTTACTCTTACTTTTATTAAGTACAGGGCATCTTGAGGCGTCTATTAACAGACCTCGCTGAGATGATATGTGATTGTTGCTTCCAAATTCTAGGGTGAGCTAGCAACTTTTGGGCTACCATGGAATTCTCTTTATTCTATGTTTGTCAAACCCTTTTTTCAAGCATGGAAGAGGGAGGATTTTTCCAATTTAAGTTACTTTCAATTACGGGAATATTTATTTTATTTCATTTCATTGTTACCACTTTGAATTGAGTTACGGTGCTCCAAGTCACATATTTTTAATCTCTAATCAAACGGAAATGACTCTTCAATTGGTATGCAAATTAGAAATTCAAGTAAGGAATTTTGTTGACAGAGGGGAAAGTATTAGGCATCCCTCGAGTGTCATGGTTCTAGCACGGTCACATTTATTGATGTATACTTATCTTGATATATTTAGGATAACTTGTGTCGGTATATCATGGTTTGCTTAATTTTTAATTTTGAGTTTTTATTAATCCTAAACCGGATGCATAACTTCTTTCTCAATCTTGACATTTGGAGACATAACTATCTTCCTCTCTCGAGTTCATCTCACCTAATAATCTCTATTTAAACCTGTTGATTTAATGTAATAAAATTTAATTAGTAAAATAATTTGGCCAAGGTGCGTAACCACATCCTTGCGTTTCTTTTAATGAGTAACGACCCAAGAGCATCCCCAAGTCGTCAAAAGGCGTACTTGATCTCTCGGAGGTCTTGTACAAGCATCTTAGCATTCATTCATTGCATACATATGAAAAGTAGTTTAGAATTAAAACTTTTCAACATAATAGTCAAACTCTTTTATAAAAGTATAAGATAGATAATAAGTCTCAACATATTCCATCTTAGACACAAGTGAAATAACAAAAGGTCACAACCCTTTCATCAATTTGAAAAGAAACTATTGTCCATTACAAAGTATTCGAAAATCTAAAACAAAAAAACAAGTCATGTCCTAGAACATATGAGGACATACCGAACTTGAGAGAATGTTATTTCCCAAGCTTCAACGTTAAATTGAATCCTCACTTGCCACCTACACTTGAAGACACGGAAAACATATGGAATTAGCACATTGAATGGACTAAGTATGGTGAACATGCAAGAAAACTATGCAAAAAAGGACATCTAGTTTAAAATGTACTTTTATGTAATTTTGATAGAAACCTTCATCATAAGAGTTTAATAGACATAATATAAGTCAACAATCATATATATGACATATTTCATATTCAAAAAGTAAGCCTTTCATCAATTTAGAATCTCTACCTAACATTACTTTAAGACTCCCCTAAGTAAGACATGAAGAGAATTCCCATACACCCTCGTCAAAGACACCTAGATGATCCTCAAAGCTACCCTAGCTAAGAACCATTCATCTCAAAATTCTATCATTAAAAGAAAATTCATTACATAAGTCATTTAAAAGTTAATCATACAATTAGAGGACTTCACATAATGGTCTTGGAAGACCTAGGGAACTCATCCTAGACCCTTCAAAGCCTACTCGTGCCATGTATAGATAGTGTCTCATTCCACTACCTACACGGTGTATAACTTCTCCAACACTAGAATGAACATCCACATGATGAGAATAGTCACTAATAAATATAGACCACACTATCTAGGAATGGAATCTGGTGTCATAAGAGCACCACACCGTGAAAGGTGTTCTACTTCTCAAAGGTAGAACTAGTAATAATCCCATGTTGCGCATGATTAAGGGATATCAAGGTCTTCTTTGTATTCTACTCTCATGCTCAAGTAAAGCTACTACCAGAAGCATATCCACTCGGTGCTTTTCTTTTGTTCTCATAGAATAAGTTGAGAAGGTACCATCTTTATGTCCTACCGACTCATAATACTTCTACCAAGATAGGGTCCACTAGGGCTTCCAATAAAGGTTAATTCAGATAGCTCATTCTAACGTTCTTTTAATATTCAAGGTTCCATTTAAGTCTTTCATAGAAGGGAACCTACATTAGGTCTACCGATCCTAGACTTTCATTTGTACATTCATACACATACATGACAAGGTGACTAAGACTACCAAGTCAAGAGTTCATAATCCATAAGCTTTCATGTATCAAGAAGAAAGACTCAATTCTACCAATTGAGAAATAACATCATTCTATGAAGGCTCTCCCAAGTCCTTAATCATCATAAATCAACAACTAGAATGTATATAATTCAATCATACTATCATAGAACACGTATTGGATAATTTAAACAATACATGAGCACCTTCTTCTATACCTTCACATAAACCAAATCATGATCATACCATATTTCACAGAATAATGTTGACAAGGCCATGTCGATAACATATATAATAATTAATCACCACCATCATAAGAGGACCATACCAATCAATACAATTCAATATCAATCTATCCAAAATAAGGGAAATATATAAACACACCACCTTCCAATAACCATCATCACCATTCCTTAGCCTTTTCAACAATTTATACAATAACAGAGTCTTACTAATGATAATATACAAAAGGCTAAGACAATATTTCATCCATATCAATGATCCAACAATACTCAATATAGACATCAACATTATAAAACAAGCTATGAACAATTCTACAATAATCAATACATAAATCAATAGCCCACAACAATCTACACATGAATTCAATAAGATTAAGCCATGATCACTTCACTCACTTTAGAGACAAAATTAGGAATTCAAGAAACACATGGGTTCATGGAAGTTCTGATCTTAAAACCACCAATTAACATCAATTACTTCATAAAACATTTATTTAATTCTTTTCATGCAAGAACCCATGCGTAGAATTCAAAATAGGGACTTGCGATTTTTTTCTTTTAGATCTTTTGAAAAGCCTTAGAAATTGACTCCTTGAATCAAAGAAGAATCAAGGATGAAATCACCATACCTATATTGAAGAAATCCCACGAAATTAAGCTTGAAACCTTGGAGAATTCGACCTTCTTCCTTGTAACTTGAAGGTCATCAACAAAGGATTGAACTAGAGAGAGAATTTAGAGAGAAGGGAGAGCATGTAAAATTTTATGATTTTAATTGAGTGTTAGGATTTATGATTAGATTAATGGGTGTATAATGACCAAAAACCTATATATAATACACACCCAAAGTACCCAAAATACCTCTACATTAATTGGACCTTTTTAAAAGTCATACTTAACTTTAATTTTCGAAATTATCTTCGGGGAAAAAGTCCACGTCGCGAAGATGTTCCCACAAGTTTTTTGGAAACAAATTTTGGTACATAAGATTCCGCGACGCGGACCAAAAATTTGGTCCTTGGTGAACCAAATCCGCGACACGGATTGGTATCATCTATGAACAATTCTTTCTTCCTGCAGAAGATTGTCGGCCCAAGGTTGAGTTCTCCTCTAGGAACCTTAGGGCGGTCCTTGGAGAGTCATAAACGGACATTTTGACCCTAAACATTTCCCTCTAGGTTTTAGTGTCATCTCACTGATTTTTGACTCCAAACAACACCAAAAAAACATACAACAATCAATGACAAAATAGCACATACTCAAGACTAGTTTCCGGACGTTCTGGTCGTCCTTTGCATTTTGACTTCCAAACTCTATAAACTGACTTCTAATGCTAATATTCATTGTTCTAACACCTTATTAACTTATAACTTGCATGATAGGCTCCATATTAACCTAGTTAATTTTGAGGGTCGTTACACAATGCCTAAAAAATAGGTGTAACAACATTCTTAATTGAGGTAAATATTTTTATGAGGTGTAAAGAAGTTTTTTTAACGTTAAAAAGAATTATTTGCCTTTATAAATAAAAAATAACTTGTTCAAATCAAATCATTATTATTAACACCGACTAAATTTGTATAAGGTCCAACAATTTAAATTTAAATAGTAAAAAACAATATGACATATATATATATATATATATATATATATATATATATATATATATATATATATATATATATATATATATATATATATATGTGTGATATAAGGTCATTTAGATTAAAATGTGGAAATGTTAACATTAATAAAAATTGTATATCAATAGTAATTCAATTAATGATTCAACCTATATTAAGCCAAAATTTTTTGTTTTTAATTAAACAAAGTGTACTAACTCTAAATCCTTAATTAATTTTGATATTTAATGAGGTTCTATGTGACATTAACGAAACTTATTCAAAGCATCAAAATTGTACAACAATAAATAACAATAAATATATTTAATTTCAAATTTATTTCAATCGAACTATGAATCAAACAAAACTACATATTCAAAAAATTATAAAATTACATCACACTCCATAGATAAATTAAAAGAGGTAAGTTAGAATTGAGTATCACAAAATCTTGACCGAATCTCAATTAGAACGTTCATAAATCTTTTATAGGTTATATGTAGTGGTATATATATTGTACCGGTATAAAAGTAATGATAAAGAAAAGAGAAGATGCTAATATGTTTGGATTTTGAAAGAAAAATAAAATGAAACGTTCTCCTTCTTTTCCCCTTTCTTGCGTGAGTTTTCTTTTAATTTTTGTTGATATTTTTTCCTTCTTTTCCTGTGAGTGTCTATTATTTTTTTAATCTTCATTTTCTATTTTCTTTTTTCGATTCTTTTTTTGTTTTTTTTAATTGTTGTGTTATGCTTCTAGTATATGTAGTAGTGTGTGTGTGTGATGTGTGTGGAGTTGAGGTAGTGTGTTTGGGAACTGGGGTAGTTTAAGTGAGCAGGTAGTGGAGTTAGAGGGGAATAGGGGCAATGGGGTGGGGTAGTGGTAAGTCATTTCATTTTTAAAAAAAAATTAAATAAAATAAATACTAAAAAAATATTAGCTAATAAAATTACAAGAAAAAATGTATAGCTACTCTAAATTATAATTAAGAAAGACTAGCTCATTTATTTGAATTTAAACTAAAAGAAAATATATTATTTTTAGAAATTTCTTCTTAAAAAAAATGAAAAATAAAAACCTAACTTAAAGTGTGACTCTATTTTTTGTAGTTTTCAAATCTTTTAAAACAAACTTAACAAAATAAGATAAAGAAATAAAATACAATATCTAATTCGAAATAAAAGAAATATTTAACAACTTAAAATAGTGAAAAATATAGGTTCGGTCAAAATTTACATGTCCACAATGTCCACCATTTTTTGACTTAGACATTTGTTCTAGCAAGTTGTTTAGTTCATTATATTTGGGTTTCATCCCTCCTTGTTCAAGACTTGGTTATCATTTAGTAGTTTTGGTATATTGACTTTTACTCTAGGTTGTTTACTTCCTACATTTGTTTAGTTAGTTCATTTGGATCCTTGTTGATGTTTATGAAAAATTGTTACTTAATTTATTCAACTAGATTCTGTAACTTAAACGCCTTAATTATTACGTTTGTTTATTTGATTTTAGTTGTAGTACTGGTTCTCCCACCAGGGGATTAGGGGGTGTGTCAATCACAACAGTCTGGTTCGTGATAAAGTTTGTGTCAGATCCTAGGTTCATTGATCTCGATGTACAGAAATGATTCTATTAGAGTCTCGCGGAAAGATACAGGGAATCCTTTACTTTTCTTCAAGAGGCTATAGAACTTTAGGAAATCTCTATATTTTTTTGTGTCTCCTTTCATGCTATAAATCGGCTCCCGTCAATGCTCCAGTAGAGGAACCTACGGTGAGAGGTCGTGGTCGAGGAAGGGGTAGAGGAAGAGCTAGGGATAGAGGTCGTGGGAGTGTAGAACCTGCTGAAAATGAGGTACCGGTTGAAAATGCTCCTATAAATTAGAAGCCTCATGTAAATAATGAGGATATAGAAGGGGATATTGAGGTCAGTGATGTTGAGGAAAATGGACAAGAGGAAGAGGTTCTAACGGAGACTATAGTTGTTCCATTATCGACCCGATATTACCAAAATAGTTATGGAGTTCTTGTAAGGGTTAACTGGTCTAAAGTGCTTCCATTTGCTCAAGTTCCTGTTAATTCTCCTACTTCTAGCACTGCGTCCAAGACTGGTGGTAATATAGCTACTAATGCTTTCTTCAGTCCTTTGTTGGATTCCTTTATGACCGGTAATGAGCATGAAATGTTGACTAAGTTTCTAAAGTTTAAACCTATAGCATTTATTGGTTCAGAGTGTGAGTACGCCTATGAATTCATTGTGGATTGCTACGAGAGGAAACATATATGTGGTATTGTTCACCAACATGGGGTTAAGTTCATGTGTTCCCAATTTCAAGGTAAGGCGAAGTAGTAATGGAGAGCCTATATGGAGTGATAATCTTCTACTTGACCTCCAATCACTTGGGCCCAGTTTCATGTTTTATTCTTAGAGAAGTATATGACAAGAACCTCGAGGGATCGTAAGAAGGATGATTTTATGGATTTAGAGCAACGTTGTATGTATAAGAATGGTTATGAGGTCAAGTTTCATGCTTTATCTAGATATTCTACTCAATTGGTGACTACAGAGGAGGAGAGGATCCACTGATTTGTTAGAGGGTTGAATTCTGAATTTCAAGTGTTATATTTCCATATGACTTCTACAGGGAGAAGCTTGAATGATGTGACAAACTATACTAAGAAAGTGGAAGGGGTGAGGCGAGACAGTCAAGCTAAGGCATTGACTAAGAGAGCCACGAATTTTTGAAATTTTTCAGGGTTCCTATTATAAAGGATATGGTAAGCCAATGCTGGTAGCCAAGCCAATTAAGTCTGCTATGCCCGCTTCTACAGGTAACCATTTTGGAACTCCATCTTATAATTTTCAGGATAGCCAGCGGGTCGCTCCTTCGAGAGGAAGCAGATCATCTTTTAAGCATACTTGCTATAATTGTGGAGAACTTTTAAAAATGAAGAGATTTTCTCCAACTGCGTGTGCTAGATTCCGCACAGCATCCATCTAGAGAAGTGGTACCCGCGGGGAATGGTAATAATGGTAGAGGACATCGCCAAGGTGGTAGAGGGGGTAATCAACAAGACCGTGGAGCTAGAGGAAATCGTGGTGGATGCATAGGTAACGCGCAACCAAGCGGGGAAGTAGCTCTTTAAGATGATAGGTCTCAATGTTATGATTTTTCGTTCAAGAATGAGATAGAGGCATCTGACGCGGTGATCACATATACTATTCTTGTCTGTGAGAGAGTGGCTAATGTGTTGTTTTTTCTGGGTTCTACTTATTCTTATGTCTCTGTGGGATTTGTCATAGAATCGGATATGATTTTTCATGTTATTAATGCCCTTATTCATGTTTCTACCCTTGTTGCAGAGTCGGTCATAATTATTCATGTCTATCATGCTTGACCTATTTTGTTTATGGGTACTTGGGTTGATTTAGTGATTTTAGATATGACTGACTTTATCATAGTCAGGCATAACTAGGTTGTCCCCCTTTTATATTGTATTAAATTTTAATACTAAATCGATCACTCTACAAATTTCGGAAAGGGAAAAATTAGAGTGGGAAGGGGTGTACAAGCCTAAGAAAGCTAAGATTATGCCCTCTATTTGGGCTAGTAGATGAGTAGAGCAGGGTTATTTGTCTTATTTTGGCCCATTTAAAGGATGTTGAGATTAAGACTCCATCATTGGGTCTATTCATGTGGTGTCTGAATTTAGTGAAGTATTTCCCAATGACTTGTCTGGTATGCCTCCAGAGAGAGATATAGATTTCTACATTTATTTAAAGTCTGGTACTCATCCCATTTCCATCCATCTGTATCGCATGGCTCCAACAGAATTAAGAGCGCTTAAGTCTCAAATCGAAGATCTTCTTGACATGGGATTTATTCCCCCTAGTGCTTCTCCATGAATTCTCCAATTTAATTTATTAAGAAGAAAGATGGTAGCATGAGAATGTGTGTATATAAGAGATAATTGAATAGGGTCACTATTCGAAAAAAGTACCTTTTACATCAAACAGATTATCTTTTTGACCAATTGAAAGGGGAAACAATTTTCTCTATGATTGATCTAACATCAATATACCATTAATTTAAAATCAGGCTTGAGGATGTGCCCAAGCCGGAGTATAGAACTCATTATGGGACCTTTGAGTTTTTTGTTATGTGTTTTGGTTTGACCAATGCGTCTTCAACTTTCATGAGTCTAATGAATGGGGTGTTCAAACAATTTCTTGATTCGTTCATGATAGTATTTATTAATGGTTATTTAGTCTACTCAAAAAGTGAGAAAGATCATGTCGACCATCTTCATATTGTTCTTGATGTTCTCGGGAGTCAAATGTTATAAGCTAAATTTTGTAAGTGTAACTTTTGGTTAAAGTCTCTTGCATTTTTGGGTCATGTTGTTTCAAAAGAAAGTGTAATTGTAGGTCTTCAAAAGATTAAGGCGTTTAAGAATTGAATTCGGCCATGCTTTGTGACAGAAGGTACAAGTTTCATGGGACTCTCTAGCTATTACGTTGGATTTGAAGAATTTTGCTTCCATTTCTACTCAACTGACCAATTTGACCAAAGACTTTCTTGACCACTAGGCCCATCCTAGAATTATCGGTCAAAGGCAAAGATTTTAGTATTTATTTCAATTCTTCATATTCTGGTTTAGGTGTTGTGTTGATGTAGGACAA